GTAAGAGTGTCACAAACGGGCCCGGCCGGTTCAAGGATAGAGAACATGGGTCCCAATAAAACCAATGTCATAATAGGGTTAGGGTTAAGGTCAGGGTGTTAGCCAAGCACATTGGTTTTATTGCGACCCATGTTCTCTATCCTTGGGCCACTCGGCCTAGGCCGGCCAAGTTCAAGTCTCGGCGGAGGTGGGGGGGGGCACTCACCCCACATTATGGTAGGTATGTACCAGTGCCACTACGAAGTCAAAAATGGGGAGCTCTGGAACTAACTCAGACCTGAAAATGGGGTCTCTGTAACTAATGTTTGTTGAATGTGGAATACTCTGGAACTAGCTCTAGTACTAGATAGCCCGCTTACATTAACTGCCGCTGGGCTATAGCATCAGCCATTACGAATGCTCGGGACCAACTTACTCCAGCCAGTCAGCGGAAACTATGTATTTCCGCACGTGGAGGGGTGGGCGGGTTGTGTTGGTTGTAGACAAAAACATTGTTGTCAAGTAACAAATTAATAATAGTAATTTGTTCATCTTTCATGACAAAACTAATATTACAATCTCTTTTGATCGCTTAATTTGTTACTTGACAACAACAATGTTTTTGTCCACAACCACCCAAACCCGCTCACCCCTCCACGTGCGGAAATACATAGTTCCCGCTGACTGGCGCTGCTGCAGCGCCACCAGAAATGTTCGTTTGAAGTTCGCAAATCGAATGTTCGTTCACACGAAATACCGCAAGTATACCATTGCAACGATAGTTAGAGGTTAAATTTTAGTAGCGGCTATAACTTAAGACATATTCACTTCGGATAAGAGGCATTAATTGCCTACCACAGACGTTTTATAGCCGGGTATAAGCAGGTCTAAGTTGGTCCCGCGCATGCCCTATGGGTCGTTCTATAGCCCAGCGGCAGTTAATGTAAGCAGGCTATAGTACTAGAGCTACTCTGGAACTGGCTCCATATTCAGATACGATAACAACGGCCTCCACCAATGGCAATGGCACCATGACCATGCAGTGGCACCCCCGAGTGGCACAGGCACTGTGTTCTGGCTGCCGACACTGACATTACGATGACAGAAGTGCTGCACTCGATGTATGCATGAGATTCAAATGGGAAATGTTAAAAACTATAGGGTCTCCGGAATGGCAAAAATGTAAGATCTGCATGGTAACTATAAACTTGTGATGCTCTGGAACGAGATATTCTTAAAAATGTGATGCACTGGAACGGAAGTTTAGGGTTGAAATGGTGTCTCTCCCGCGGCACATACCTACCATGCAATATATATATATATAGAGTGCCCCTCTCCCCGGAGTTCAAGTTGGTTTCAGCAAGAACAATTGACGTAGATAATGTAACCAATATACCATGCAGAGACAGCTTTTTTGAGTAGTATTGAATACCATCTCAAGGCATGAAATTAGCCAAAATGTTAAACATGCCCTTAGACATGAATGATGGATGATGAATAGTGAATAATGGATCATGAAATTCTTTAATAAAGCCTGTACTTGATGCACTCGATCATCTGAGCGTGATCATTGTTTTCGGCATGTGCCATCTCCTAAGGATCCTTTTAAGTTTAGCTTCTTTGTTTCTGTCATTCCGTAGTGGAATTCTCTTCCTTCATCATTGGTAAATTGCAAAATTGCAACTTTTCCACTGCAATCCGCAGTGTTGATCTATTGATTTGATCCACTTCTCTCTTCTCCGTCTTTGTTATAGTCCCTAGAGGACTTTTGAAGACTAATGTTTATGAGGTTATGAGACAAATTGAACAGGCCATCATTTGTGGCCAACGATGTACATCATATCGCCTACAATCACACCCGGTAGAATGATGGCGGAAAACTTCAGTCTGTGCATATGTGTTAAGTTAATGCATAAAAATAATAGGCTAACACATTTCTACCCTACTATTTTACGCTACCATTAAAGCCTCGCCACTTTTGCATGAAACTAAGTTTAACAGAGGTTGGCAAGTAGCGTAATTTATTAGGTAGTATAGGTTGTGTGCATGGTGTATCACGCTATTCCACTGCACTAAGCCTATATCCACCCTATGGTGGGCTACAGCTGTGCATCTAGCATTGGTACTGTCTTTATTGAGGAAGTGATGTGCGTGCAATGCCTGCAACATTGTGCAGCTGCAGCATGAAGAAAATTATGTTTAGTCGTATAACAAGGTTACTCAGCTTACTGGCTTATGCCAGATTAACCATTTTGCCAGACCATGCAATAGTGGTGACGTCACTGACGTGTTAGTATTTAACACAACAATACACTTCAGACAAACTAATTATACACCTTTTGTGTCTCTAAAGCATCATGGACTGCTAGAAAGTTAAACTGAACAAATGTTTTACAGGTATCAGTGAAATGATGGGTGGATTGATATGAACTGGTGTTTAGGCTTGACACTACCACTGAGAGTTGAATCTCTTTTAGAAACCACAGTAAAAATGTAAGCGAAATAAGCTACGAATCTCACAAAATAAACAGATCAACACCAGCAAGTGCGGTGTAAACAATTCTAATGAGCGCATAATTTTTGCCACGAGGTACCAGACAATCACCTGCCGGACAATGAGCGAGGTACCTGTATTCTTGCTTAGGTGTGCAATATTATTTCAGTCAACTTACTTGTAGTTCATTAAAAACATTGTCTATCTCACATTTAAAATTAATGAGTATTATGCATGCATTTGCATTGCACGGGCATTAGCACTCCAGTTGCTGATGCTACCAGTTAGGTACATATGAGATCTGACCCAGATTGATCACTAAATAGATCCCATGTCAGATAAATAAACGTTAGTTGTAGAGTATCATTATGCTACCAGTACCAGTTCGTAACATGTCAGGCCATGATTGGGTATAAACATAAATTAGCAAGTAGTCATTGTTTGTGCATGTTCAGTTGCCACCTGTGCTGCAGTGTCAAATTCATTGGGTTTCATGACCATGTAAGAGTAAATTTATTTTATGGTACATGCATTGATTTACATAAAGTCATAAACTATTCAAACAGTATTGACAACTGGTATAGTACAGGGATGAGAATTGTCCGCCGATCGGCGGAATTCCGCCAATTTGACAGCCGCGTGAATCGTGCAAATTCGGTGGAAAAAAAAGGAAAAAGAGAAAAGGAAAAAAAAAAATGTTTTTTCCCCCTGGGTGTGATGACTATTTCTGTTTCAAATGGCTATTCCAATCAATCCAATATAATATCATTAAGATTTGTTTTGACTTCAGCACCAACCAATTCTGCTCATTGTATGTTTAATTTGTTAAACTGCTAGACAGGTAAACAATAGTGTACTGCCTGTGAACTTTTAACATGGTTTGAATAAATTTTTATATCGCATGACAATTTTATATTTTTAGCTCATCTGACGAAGTCAGATGCAGCTTGTAGAATCGCACGATCGTCCGTCCGTCCGTCCGTGCGTGCGTGCGTCCGGCCGTCCGTCCGTCAAGAGTTGGGCACAAATCTTAACCGCTCGACGTACGGTCACGATATTCGGGAAGTCGGGGGGATCGTCAAAACGAGTTGGGATGTCGAAGCTGGGGGTCAAAGGTCAAAGGTCAAGAGGTGTAAAAGAAGGGGTAACATTCTCTCCTTAACTTAAGGTATAGGGAGGAAATGCAGAATTGCGGCACAAATCTAAACGGCTCGACCTAGGCTCGTGATAGTCGGTGTATAGCATCATGGTAGGTGCCGAAATTGGAAGTCACAGGTCAAAGGTCAATGGGCACAGGGCAGATTTTAGACATTTTCTGAGGACATGGTCTGACGGAGCGATTGGAAAACTTTTTTGTTTCAGCGGTGACCTAGCATTTTTATGGCTTTATTGAAAGGACCATGAAATGTACCTTCTCCTGACATGCGAAGAGTAAGTGTCGGATAACCTTTTGACCCTCAAGAGGAGGGTTAAACATGGATTTGTTTACTGTCTGTTAGTAAGAATTTGACTGCTGGGTTTGCTAGTAGAATCTATACATGCCTGGATGTATGAGGCTACAATGTCACAGTGAAATTTCAAAAGCTAAATTTGGTTGAAGAAGGTTTATAATATAATTTATATGCTCCTTAAATAATATAATTTCTATGGCATTCTGTACTGTCAGTATGTTACATGTAACGTATGCCACTGCCAGTTGGCCACTGCCAGTGCATGTGGTGGTGGGGTGGATCGCTCCAGCGACGAAAACATTGAACATTTAACTATTCTTGGGTTCAAAATGATTGCGGCGCTGAAAGATTTGGATACACAAGAGTCATTTTGACATGCTGAACTTCAATAGAGTGGATGATTTGACCATGTCTGCTCAAACCATATGGCAGCCATCTTAATTTAGTATGGCGACCAGTGACGAAATGTTGAACAATACTATCTAAACTACTACACAACGGCGCGGCACAAGGGCCGCACCCGCAGCACCACACGCGCGTGCCACACACACATACACGCACACACGCCCACACCAGAACGAGCCACAGCTAGGCCTCCACATGCGCGCACACGTCCACCGACCGTCTGCGCCACACAGGCACCACACACACTCACAACACACATACAGTAAGCAAGAAGTACAGAAGATGGCAGCAGGGTACCAGTTTTGGTTAACTGGAATAAGCCTACGATTGGCAGAGTGTTTATCCTTGACATTCATAGATCACACGGAGAGGCAACTTACACGCTGTATGTGGAAGACCGTACGGCGATCATTCGTGGATGTTTGCCATGGACCATTACCATTATCAGATTGTGACAGTGCATGTAGTAATTAACCTTCAGGAACTCTTCCAAACGATTCCGTGATATCCATTGTGAATTTGTACCAAGGGAGAACTTTGTCACTCCAGGAGTCGTCACACAAGTTCGTTGCTTTGGCAACAATCAGATACACGAACAGCAGTACGCTATAGTGAGAGAGGATGGAATGAGTGGAGTCATTGGAATTACGAGAAGAGGAGGCTATTCGCGC